CAGCTAAAAATTTTGATTCTAATTCATCAATTTTTATTTCACGTGGTAATCTATTTCTTAATGAATTTGAAAGTATTCAATGGTTCAACCTTGAATTATAATTGATCGAATCTTAACTTTTCAAAAAATAAATTTACATATATGCTACATGAGCTTAGTTTATATTTGGTTCAACTTTGTCATTTTTCTTCACCAATGATTCATCAAAGAAAAGAAAAGAAAAGAATTTTTTTTTTTTCTTTTTTTTTTTTTAGCAAGTGTATCGATCTCACACCACAAATAACATTTAAGTAAGAAGTATGGTTCCAAAGCAATATTTCACTTACCCCTTGTGATGGTTACTTTACCCACTGTCATTATTGAGATGGGATTGGGGGCATGAAAGGTTCAGTCAATAGCTCCTAATATTCTAGTCTCCTTGTCAAATGATTTTTTGTCATTAATCATTATTAATTTATTAGTATTACTCAACTTTTCAAAGTGAAACTTGAGGTGTTCGAGTCCTTTCTTAAGATGTTATATATATATATATAAATCCTCTTATATATAAGATCTTAGGACAAATTATATATATATATATATATATATATATATATATATTATTATGTTTTTTTGTAATTCCGTTTTATAAATAATTATAATAACATTATATATATATATTGGAATTACAAAAAAATATAATAAAATAAAATACATTTACAAAAAAAATTGGTGCCTTTCGTCTAAAAGGAAGAGGATATATCATTTACTCTAAGGTGTTGTTCAGCATTTAGTTGTGAATGGTTTAAGTATTTATCTAATTAATTTGATATCGCAATTTGAATATCACATAAAATGATAAATAGCACTTAAAATTAAGTAAAATTTTAGTTGAAAAATATATAATGCTTAACACTGAAAATTTTAAAAAACGTCAAAAAAATTTATTTTATAATTACCACTCAAAAAAAAAATCACTACTTAAAATTTAACTCTTAAAATTTTTAATACTTAATATTTAATTTTATCAAACTAACACTTAAGTTGTTTTTTTTATTAATATTTCATTTATTTTTATTTTTATTTATTGAGAAAATTATTTACGATAGAGTGCATTTATAGCCAAATTCAATACTAGATATTGTTTTGTAGTTGAACCGTCAAACCTAGTCTCAGATGGTCAAGGTGAAGCGATAAATTGAATGTTATCCACGTTCTATTTCTTTTTCTGTTATTTTTATTTATTATTTATTTTATATTTTTTCTGATGATGAAACTGGGAACAAAACAAGAGGCACCACCAATCAACGACAATGAGAGACATCCAGGTTCACTGAACCATGTTTTTGTGATGCCATGCCTTGTATCACGTGAAACATATTAGGCAGCATGTGCAACGAACGTTTCATAAGATGGAAAAAGTAGCTTTGATGGATGTTGGTTATTATTGCAATACATGAATGAGAGAAATTGTCTAAGATTTACAAGGGTTGGATATATGTACTAGACAAATTCAAATTCCCTTATATATATATATACAAATTCCCTTATATATATCTATATCTATATATATATATATATATATATATATGCATGTATGTTTCTTAGATTCTAAAACTTGACCAGGTTCTCTGTTTCACAGCCAATGCTAATTTGGCGGTCTCTTGAACTATCGATTAGAGAAATTATTTGAAATTTACAAGATAATCCTTGCACGGCTAATGCCAAATTGGAGGTCTCTTGAATGGCCGATTGAAGAAATTATTTGAAATTTACAAGGTAACCCTTGAAAATAGTCGTAACTTTTCAAATGTGATAGATTAAAAGTCACATTTATTAATTTAATTTATAAATTTGCGCTTCACATACATACTCTATTATTTTTAAATTTTATATTTGTCCTTCCATATTGAGTTATTAACCACCGCTCTTTCACCTTGTCTTAATCTCTTTAAAGGTTTCATTTTTTTCTTCCACCTCAAATTCTCCAAGATGACCAACTATGCACTAGACAAATCCATATTCCCTTATATATATGTATATGTATGTATGATATATGTATATCTCTTAGATTCTAAATTTTGATCGGGTTCTCTGCTTCACGGCCAATGCTAAATTGACAGTCTCTTGAACGGCCGATTGGAGAAGAGAAATTTAGGTAAATTTCACGAAACTTTGAGCATCGGAGTTTACAAGTCTGTCTGATCTCGATTTCTTCAATTTGATTTTCAATCTCAAATTTTCTTTTCTGTTTGGTTGAAATTAATTCAACGTCCATACCATCAATAAACATACTCATCAATGAACAAAAAAATGAAATACTTATTTTTTTATTTATCAAAATAATTTTTTCTTTCTTCTGCTTTATTATTATTATTATTATTTTATTTGGTGTGTGTGTTGTGGTAATAGGCTTGACTTTTGTTTTCAGTTTATTTACTCTCTTTTGATTCTCTATGACTCTTCGGTTATATTTATCAATTCCCCATTTTTTTTTTTTTTTTTTTTAAAGAAAAAAATGTTCATACTTCACTCCACTTTTGATCTTCTTCGGTTTTATGGTTCAATGAGCACGAACCCCATCTCTATAAAATTCATCACTTCGTATCAGACAAGAAAGTTTATATTTATGTTTATATTTATATTTATATATATATCTATATTTCTCTTAATTAGTGCATCAATGGAATTAGTATCCAAAAAAAGAAATGATGCAGTATAATATTACTTTCTCCGTATTATTTTAAATGTCACTGTTGAAAACTGTAACCTACAAACATAAAAAAATTTTGAAAAAGAAAATTGAACAAGCTTGAGCGAGCCAAGTACGAAGTGGTATTCAAATTCTATTTCTAAACCATACCAATCTTTGACATATCTTAAACTCACTTATCTCTAGTTTGTCTTACCATTCCCTCATCAATTTTCTTTAATTAACACCATTATTCAAATTTCTAGTCATTCTTTCTTTCCTTCGTTCAAACCACGTGAATTTTCTTTTCCTTTTCTCGAAAGAAAGGCAGTGTCTGTGGAAAAGGAATCTCTGAGTTGGACCCTCAATTGAACCATTTTCATTCCTCCCCACCAATAAGGGTTTGGTTTGATTTTAATTTTCCTTTCCCTTCATGAGACATGAAGCTTCGGTTGAAAAGTCAGAATTGATTAGTGATTGATACCCTTTTTTTGTTTTCTGGCCACCGATCAAGAAATGTAGCGGATGTGATGAAGACCGTGATCTCATCTGTTCTACACAATTCAAACCATGTGTATCATCCATCCAACCAACCAACTTTTTTCTAATTCCCTTTTAAATTATGGTCACCTGATGACGTCACCGTACACATAAACAACAACCCAGCTAGAAAGTGGGCATCTCTATTTTGCCCCTATATTTGCCATCAACTGCAGAATTGACCCTTCTTCCTTTTTCTTTTCTGATATATTTTTTTATTGAAAAGGGATGAGCGTTTGAGATGAGTTGTAATGGGCGTGTTCATTGACGGATTCAGAGAATTGTACGGAAGGGGTGACTTTGGACAACAATAATATATGGTGGGTATCATTAAAAATTGAGTGGAAACAAATTTAACACTTTTACAAAAATTAGAAATATTTTTAAAATTTTCACAAAATCTATGAGTAATTTTGTAGACAAAAAAAATTTCAGTAGAAGCAGCCCTTCATCGGTCCGTGTCTGGGCGGTTGTTAAAAAGGTCGTGTCCTGTATCGAATTAGGATGAAGACATGCCTTCAACTCCAACATATATGGAACTGACAAAATGGTTGCTTGCACGGTCTTGATCACCTACTAAATATATTAGGTATGATAAATAAGTCACATTGCCTTCGCGATGAAATGATACGAGAATGGAATAGCTATTTTAGCCTGTCAAAATGGGTAATTCTAATTTCTCAGATAATTGCAATATATGAATGTAGTTTTATGAAAATATTTCCAAAATAATAAGGTGAGATTGCTTGAAATTTTAGAGTCCAATTGAATATCATTGGGCCCACTAGGACGTTAATTTCTTGTGAGTGGGCCCCTACTAGGTCATTGATTCGATTTTTGGGTACGGAGGTCATCCATTAATTCGACTTATTGAATTCTAAAAAGTCACTTGATTTTTTTTTTTTTTTGGGTACAGATATTGGTGGTGAATTTATGATACTGCACTTGGCATGTTGCATTAGGAGTTAATTTCAGTACATATGAGTTAGGTTGTATGTCAAATTGTCAATAATTTCAAGGTTTGAAATATATATTGGGTGTCCTAACATGTCACTCAAAAAAAAAAAAATAAATAAATAAACAATTTTCAATTAGACGCTAGCAAAACGACTTTGTTCTTAACTTCATAAAATTTGTCACGCGTAAAAAATGTTAACAATAAATTTATATGGTGCATTTTCATTTTTGTGATTGTACAGAGTTTGGATATAATTGATACAAGAACAATATAATATGAGGTAAGTGCAAATATTTATGCAATCACTAGACCATGGTGTCATAAAAAAGTCTAGATCATTTTTACCAAAATAATGAATTTACATATAAAAAATGTTAACAAGAAGTTCATATGATACATTTTCATTACCGTAGTTATGCAGAATTTGGACATAAATTGACTTAAAACAATATAATATTAGAGTGTCATAGAAAAGTTTAGATCATTTTTACCAATGCAGAATTTGGACATAAATTGACTTAAAACAATATGATACCATGGTGTCAGAGAAAAGTTTAGTTCATTTTTACCAAAATAATGAAATTAATATTTATACATGTTCAAAAGATCAAATTTGTGAATCTTTAATCTTTTTCATTTACTAATAAAAAACACAAAGGATCAAGAGGATTGCATTCTTGTAATATAAAGAAAAAGCAGAGGCAATTGTTTGCACCAAACAACCAACTAAGTATATCCTCCACTTCCTCTCACCTTCCTTTCTCCACTAAATAAAACTTATATGGCCCCACATTTCTCTTTCCTATCCCTCCACTTAAATAGAAGTGTACCACCAGATAACACAGACTTCAAACTCTTCACAACACACCCCAAAAAACATGCTTCAAAAGGCCATGTCTTCATCTTCCCAAAGTGAGCTCCCTCTTAACGAGAACGACTCACAAGAGATGGTCCTCTATGAGCTCCTGAATGAGGCCAGCGCCCTTACCAGCCCATTTTCACCCCCCAAAAACCCGAACACAGCTCGTAACATCCTCGAACCGACTCGTACTCTAGGGAAGAAGCACTACAGGGGCGTCAGACGACGCCCCTGGGGAAAATTTGCAGCTGAAATACGTGATTCTGCACGCCACGGTGCTCGTGTTTGGCTCGGCACGTTTGAAACGGCTGAAGAGGCCGCCCTGGCTTACGACAGGGCGGCTTTTAAAATGCGCGGTGCCAAGGCCCTCCTTAACTTTCCTGCCGACGTAGTGGCAGCCTCCGCCGCGCAGAGATTTGATCTTAAGTTGTGCGCAAAGAGCTTAGGTAAGCATGAGAGCAACCCCAGTAGTGGTTCATGCCAGTGAGTGTTGCATGGTCTGGTTAGAATTGGAAAGAGGACAGCTAGAGATTCAAATGATTTGGGTCAAATTACCCAGAAAATTTTCAAGATCTTCAGTTCTTAATGTGTACCATGGAATGGAGACACAGTGACCTTTAATGGTCATGCAGGTGTGGGTAATTCTCTTTTCTTTTTTTTCATTTTTTTTTTTTTAACCTATGTGTATTGTTTTCTTCAATTTTGGTGTTTCTGATATGTCCTTATAGTCATGTATATATAAGGCATTCAGTCAGAAAGATCTATGTTTTAAGTTAAAAACGTCTATTCAATGCACAATTGTCTTAATGTTTGCTAATAATAGCTCAAGCATAGAATTAAAAGAGAAACAGGGGGGATAAAATCACTTTGTTTGGCAATTTGAATTTGTACTTTGTGGGGAGCATTTCACTGTCTTATGCTAAGGGGAATTTCCAAAACCATTTTTCTTAGATTAAATTTTTTATTTTCAAATAAAATCAATTTCTCAAAATGTTTTTAGGTGACACTATAAGAAGATCTAGTGTTATATTAATACTACTTGAAAATATAACATCACATATGTAATATTTATTTTTTACTTAATTTTAGTATAAGCCGTATTTTTGAATTGTGGATAGTTGCAAATATTCTCAGTTTACGTTATAACTATGAGCCAAAAGGCGGCTAAAAAGAACAGTTTCTCATCACCAAAAGATTGGAAAAGAAAAGGGAACAATCACGTATATTTTTTACTTTTTAATTTTTGGTTAAAACCAGAAAAATAAAAATGAAAGATAAAGTGTCTGTTTGGGAAATGTTATGATATTATTTTTCTGATATTGATATCTAAATTTGGGCCCTTAATGGGCATGTAGGTGTGGGTAATTCTCTCTTTTATTTTTATTTTTTTTCTCTATTTTTAATTTTTTTTTTCTTTAAACCTATGTATTTTGTTTTCTTCAATTTTGGTGTGTAGGAGATGTCCTTATAATCATGTATATATAAGACATTCTGTCAGAAAGATTATGTTTTAACTAATGTATATTCAATGCACAATTGTCTTTGATGTTTGCCAATAATAGCTCAAGCATAGAATTAAATGAGAAACAGAGAGGTGATAAAATCACTTTGTTTGGCAATATGAATTTGTACTTTGTGGGGAGCATTTCATTGACTTATGCTAATGGGAATTTTCAAAACCATTTTTCTTAGATTAAAAATGTAATTTTCAAAGAAAATCAATATCTAAAAATATTTTTAAAGCCAAGAAGATCTTATTGTGATATTAATACAACTTGAAAATATAGCTTCACATATATAATATTAATTTTTTTACTTGATCTTAGTATAAGTCATATTTGTGCCAAAAGGCGTTGGCAAGAACCGTTTCTCATCACCAAAAAAATTAGAAAAAAAAAAAGGAACAATCTTATATATTTTACACTTTTTTACTTTGGGTTAAATTTAAAATCAAAAAGAAAAAAAAAAATTAAAGATAAAAATGTTACTTTTGTTATCTACCTGAAGTTGTAATATATGCTCCCCACCGGCAACCCTTTCAAGCTGTTTGGTTGGACTTGGAGGTCACTGGTCAATGACTCAAGGTCTGGGTACCCCCTCTAATAACGAGCCAACAGTGAAAATCAAGGAAAATTCTTTCTTTTTTAACAAAAAAAAAAAGGAATATTCTTTCTTTCTTTTTTATTTTTATTTTTTTTATTTTTTTAGGTAAATATAACAAGAACACACTAATTTCATTTGTTTGAGCGTAAAATATTTTTTAAAAAATATAATTTTTGTATTTTTTGTGTTTGATTGTCGTAAAATATTTACGAAAAAAAATATTAAAACCTAACAAAAAAAATTTATTCATCAATTTTCAACAAACTATTTTACACGTCCCACCTGATGCATTCGACCTCAATCTCGACCTAAACCTTTGTCAAATATCAAAATATAATATATATATATATATATATATATATATATATATATATATATATATTGTATGTATTACTTAAAAAAGTATATATGTATATAATTTATGTCGAAACAAGCCGAGCCTAAATTGAGATGAATTTAAAGAACTCCATCATCTCCTTTAGGGAAAAAAAAAATTAAAAAAAAAAAGAAGAAGAAAAAGAATTATTTATATCACTTGAACTAATTACACAACAATAATTAACTAAAAAAATTCTTTGAGGACTTAAACTTTCTACGTTTAGTTAAAAAAAATAATTAAATAAATAAATTACCACTGAAGTACAGCTCAATAAGCAATAATGATAATCTAATATAGTCCAAGTCAATTTGGAAATACAAAGAATTTCTCAATTGATTGATTCATTTGAAACATTAAGAGAATGTGAGAAGTATGATCGTGCCATATATGGTCAAAAAATTGGTGGAATGTGGACCGTTCCTAGTCTAAATCGTGACATTTCAATGACTTGTAAAGTTACATTTTCTAGTAGAACAAAGAAATGGTGTCCCATATGGACTCTTATTTTGGACCTAGCACCATATTCACATCTCCAAGAAAGAACAACGCAGAAAATCACAATATTTTATTGCTCAAGAGTGACATGATAGAGATGAAGGACAATTTGAAGACCTCGTATATAAATCCATATATAAAAACAATAATTAATATGACACCCTCTTTATACTTTTAGAAAAATAAAATAAAAAACAATCAATTAATCTATTCCTACTTGAACCATTTTGAGGTGGTCTTATTATGTTATGACACGTATCTCTTTGCAGATTTGGAGGCTTTTTTTTTTTTTTTTTTTTTTTTTTTGGGAAGGGGCGTATGAATGATTTATTTTTATTTTATTCCTACTTGAACCATTTTGAGGTGGTCTTATTATGTTATGACACGTATCTCTTTGCAGATTTGGAGGCTTTTTTTTTTTTTTTTTTTTTTTGGAAGGGGCGTATGAATGATTTATTTTATTTTATTTTATTTTATTGTTCCATAATTGGTACTCTTACACGCATATCTTTACTGAGATTTGAACATTTAACCTCCCTTTGAGAAGTAAGAGACTGATACTGTTAGGCCATTGGCCTGTTGGTCATATGAATGATTTTTTTATTGTCTTTAAATGCATTACCTATGCTTGGTTAAGAAGGAAGAAAATTGGACGGAATGGAGAAAAGAAAGAATAAATAAGACATCCATAGTTCTTCCCTCTTTTTGTTCGGCCGGATATAATAGAAGATAAGAAACTGACAATTTACTGTAGGATAAGAGGGAAAATAGATTTTTAAGTTGTTTTTATCATTAATCCCATCACTTATGTTATTTGTGGGATTTATTAAATATTTATGAAGGTTGATATAGTAATTTAAAACTTCTATAATAAGTCCGTTTGTCTTTTCTCATCTCTTCTGCCCATATTTAAAAGGATAAAAATTTGTAAAGAATGAAGAATGACTCATCCATCCTATTATCTTTTCTTTTCTTATATTATCTCTACCAAACCAAAAAAGTTTGTTCTTCTTTTTTATTTTCCTTCTTCCATTTTCTTTCATTTCCACCAAACAAAACATTAGGTTACAAGAACAAAACATTAGGGTTACATGATTAGGTTGAAAATTTCATCCTCTGGCATATAATATTTAGGTTAAACAATTCATTTATTAGATTACAAGTCAAGTTGTTAAAATATATTATGCTTGAGAAATTAGATTATTTGATGACTTGGGTTGGTGGATTGGTGTAACTGGTGGACGCTTGTTTATTTATCCAAAAATTTAAGTACTATTGGGTAATACTGCATAGCCATCTATTTATATACTTTTCAATTCCCATCCAGATCTGATATGGGACAAGTCTCACTTGTAACATTCTCCCTTACCCAAATTCGGGCAACACCCTTGTTAAGGTAAGGCCACCTTGCCTACTTAGGGTGAAGATCCAGAACCCTCCGAGCGGAACGTTTGGTGTGACATCGGATGGATTGAGTCTGACTCAGATACCAACTATAACGAGTGGACACTTATTTATTTACCCAAACACTTAAGTTATTATGTAGTATTACATATCCACTCATTTATACACATTTCAATTTTTGTCTAGATCTGATATGGTACAAGTCCCACTTGTAACAATTAGAAATAAAAGAATATGACTTTGACTTTTCTTTATTATTTAATTAAGGGTATAGATAATGAAGAACTTATTTTCGGCCTACTTGTAATTATTAGCTATACTATTTAAGGCCCATTTTGTAGTAATACAGGCCGAAACTATTGAAAATTTTAAGCCCAATATGGCCCTATCAACCATATATATGTATATGTAATTGCATTACTTTCACTTTAACAAGTTGAGAAGATATTAGCTTTACCCTTTAACAAAAAAGGAAAAAACAAACAGTTGAGAACGAATTATTAGATTGTTATCATCCTATTTAAGGCCCATTTCATCGTACAATGGGCCAACACCTTGGAATTCATCACCTAATGAAGCCCATCATCCTGGCCTACATGCATTTGGATATCTCAATCATTTATTTATTTATTTTCACAAATCTAAATCATTGGCTTTTTCACCGTTAGATTAAAAAGCAGCGCCCAACAAATGATTCTTCTTTAGCCTATACAATGATGTCATTGCACTAAGAAGAGCCCGTTCATTCATACTTTCAGTATCAGCAAATTCCGTACTTCTTGTAACAGTCAAAACCGTCGAGTTTAACTCCATACTTTGTGAAAAAGACCTCCAAAAGTCCATCCTTTTGTAATTATCCTTTAAATTCTTCTCACCCGCTATGATCATGACTTGTCCAAGTTAATCTAAAACATGCAGTAGGTTTGAAAAATATTTTTCAAAGTTGGAATTGCATGTGTTGAAAAAACTAACCTAAAATTAAATGGGTTTGAACAATATTTTTCAAACTTGGAATTCTGCTTAGAGGTTCTTTGTGTCTCGGTTTGGTGTTGTAATCTAACCAATTGCCAAGCTTATATATATATATATATATATATATATATGGAATTCTGCTTGTATTGGAAAAACAAACCTAAAATCCAATCACTCTCTCTCGTCTGCTTCCATCACTCACCTCAAATGTCTCTCCAAACTCTCCCCTTACTCCTCCTTGCCACCTTCATCTTCTTCTACTCAGTTTCAGCAATCGATTTCACATTCAACGGCTTCAACTCCTCCTCACTCCTCACCTTCGGCAACGCCTCAATCCAATCTTCAATCGTCAGTCTCACCAACGGGACCGACACTAGAGGCCTAGTTCTGTACCCACACCCAATACACACTAGACCCCCAAACTCATCTCATCTCCTTCCCTTCTCAACCTCTTTCATTTTCTCTAT